ACGTTTTCACTACTCTTTTACATTACTACTGCTTATCGTAGTTGATTATGATTTAATGGTTATTTAATAATTAATAAAACTTTAGCTCATTCCGTATCGGGTACTACTTGGCGGGTCCGTGCCAGGAATTTCAAAGTACTTACTTTGAACGTACTAATAGTATCCTAAAACTATATGTTTTTTATTAAGCTTTTACCGTGATTATTTTTCACGAGTTATTGTTAATAAGCTCTATATAGAAAGTTAACATTGGTTTTGAGTTTGATGACTGGCATAATGAACGCAAATTTATGTCAAAAAATGTATGGACCCGCCAAGTAGTACTCGATAAAGAATCAGCTAAAGTTTTATTAATTATGAAATAACCATTAAATCATAATCAACTACGAGAAGCAGTAGTAATGTAAAAGAGTAGTGAAAACGTTACAGGAAATTTTTAAAATACAATTAAAATGATGGGCCAGTGCTAGATCATATAATAGGCAAACATGTAGTGACTTATGTACTTGGCCTCAATAATGTGATATCAATACTTTTTATTAGAGGAATACACAGCACTCCTGTACTTGGCGTAGTTTTTTATACGTAAGTGTTTTTTGGGGGTATTATAATAGAGGGGCATAACAGCTTGTAGGAGGTTTGTGGGAATCAGCGGTGAAGTCGGCAATAACACATGCGAAGGCTTGTGATAGGAGATACTACTCTTAGTTTTCAAGAATTATCGACAGTATTTTGTCAAATCGAAGCATGTCTGAATTCTTGCCCTCTATTTCCACTTTCGTCAAATCCAAGCGAACTCGAAGTTCTGACACCTAGAAATTTTTTGGTTGGATCTGCTCTGGCTGCCCTTTCGGAAGGAGATGTCTCAGATATAAAATTAAATCGTTCAAATCGTTATGAGCTACTCCAAGATGCATGAGGACTTTTGGCGACGTTGATCATAAGAGTATATTACTACAGCAGAGAACTAAGTGGCAATCAGAAAAGTCAAACGAAAATGTCAAAGTAGATAGTATGGTACTATTGTGCGATATCACACCCCCGCTTCAATAGCGCTTGGGGAGAATAGTTGAAGTTCATCCAGGAAAGGATGGACTAATTCGTAATGTAACTGTAAAAACTGAAAACGGAACTACCCAGAGAACACTGCCGAAAATATGCGCTCTTCCAATTGAATGATCATATTAATTAACTAAGTTAGTTGATATTTTTCATTTCTTGTTGAAAGTCAAACCTTTCAAGCCTGCCGGTGTTCGCGCCATTCATGCAGTGTTTTCAACTGGGTATTCGGGCCCGGTTGTGATGGTCGTGGGGAAAGGGGGTTAGTAGATGTAATAGGCCGCAGGAGGCGCTGATATTCATAAAAAACCAAGATGGCGATAACTGAACGAGAGAGTGAATGTTCTTTTTCGCGCTCTTCTTAGTTTATTAAATAAACAGTATTAAAACGGCTCAAAGTGTTTTTACTCATGTTCAACCCAACTAAACACATAGTAAAAATAATAGCTCAAAAGCTCTACTATTACGTCGTAGAGCTACTGAGGCAATGGTAGTTATGGTCGTTGGTATAAATGATCACTGCAAAATTTCCTTAGCTTATTACTTTATTAACGGTCTGAATGGTACAGAGAGAGCTAAATTGATAACTGAGTGTCTTAAAGATTTATACAATATTCATATACAAATAGTATCTTTGACATTTGATGGTGGTTTATCAAATATTGCAATAGCTGAGCAGTTAGGTGATTCTATTTTCATACTCATGGTTTCCAGATGGAAGCCGCGTCCGTGTTCAGCTTTGTGCCGAGGTTTCGCAAACGTTTCAGTGTGTATCATCAAGGCTAGGAGTCTCCGATACTGAAGCTCACTGTTGTCAGGATGTCTTAATATACCTACGATTATTCATGCAGAGCGGTGTTCAGCCGATCAGAAATCGGGAACTAGACTGTGACGGGAATTCAAAAAAGGTCTAAGTAGTTTGCTAGAATATAATCGTAGAATGCCAGAACGTTGATTAGCCAAATAGCCATGGAAGAATGCCCGTATTCGAACTCCGCAAGTTGGCGACGAATGGTCGGCGTCATAAGACATTATTTAAAGTTTACTCACTAATCCGCAAGATAGCAGTACCGAATACGAGATTTTGACAGCCATTTTGTCACGTGACTCAACATGATGTTTGAACTGCTATTTGTGCAACACGATTTTTAATATCACTATTTAACAAATATAAGCATATTATTTACGTAAGCCATCAATATTCACAGTTTTTATAGTACCACAATTAAGAAAAACAAAAAAAAATTGGTCCAGTTCCTCATTGTTTAATTGATTAGCTGATCAATCGATCCAGTGTTGCGCCAAGTACAGACAACCCGCTGTATAGAGCACGGTCCGCCGAAACTTTTTACTCGGCGCATCTCTTGTACCTGTGTTTGGAATTAAATAACTTATGAACGGCTATATGCGAGAAACAGTTACTGGTAAATTCACTATAGGAATGGAGAGTTCTTAATTGATTGCCATCAAAATCAATGTGATTGATGTACCAGATCAAGGACTATTGAGATGGCAAGCGAGATGATATTATTTCAGGGTTGTGATCGTCGTGGTTGTCGTGATCGTCCTCGTCTTTGTGGTCGTCGTTTTCGTCCTCGTCGTTGTTCTCATCGTCGTCGTCATCGTACACCCATTTACTTTTTCAAACGACGGATAGCACTGGCTGCGTTGTCTTCTTTAGTTATGTGTACTCTGGATGATGTCGGTAATTTACGAATACACAACAATTATGTACAAGTATGTACTTACATACTTGGCATTGATGATAGGATTTTAATACTTTTTATTAAAGGAATTCACAGCACTCCTGTATGTACTTGGCATATTTTTTTACACGTAAGTGTTTTTTGGGGGGATATTACAAGTGTTTGTTGCTCAACGGGATATAGAAGCTCTAACACTCGAATCTATATTGTTACAGATATAAAATGTAAATACATTGTGATGTCGCTAATCAGAAAAATATCGAAAATGTTTAAATTTGAATCATTTTCAGGCTCAGAAGTTTAATTTGTAAGTTCATTCTGGACACCTAAATACAAAAAACTACGAAGCGGATTACTTTGAGATCATATACATCTAAAAATTGTCACCTGAAACACGAGGAACTATGTCGAAGTATACACCCATAGACGCGCGCTCAACATGAATACTGTTACACTTTTCGTGCTAAAGACTTAATAATTCTATACTATTGTGAAAGCAGCCTTATATTAACTAGAAATTCGGTGTGAACGACCTTCACGTACAACATGTATTTAATTGTGTTATGTATTCGTAAATTACCAACACCATCCGGAGTACATATAGCTAAATAAGGCAACGTAGCCAGCGACATCCGTCTTGTGAAAAAATACATGAACGTGCGAAGACGAAGATGGACCTGAAATAAAATCATCTCGCTCGCCATTTCAATACGTTCTCATCTCGTACATCAATCTTATTGATTTTGATGGCAATCAATTCAGAACCCTCGGTTCCTGTAGTGAATTTATCAATAACTTTTTCTCACACATAGCCGTTCATAAGATATTTGAGACACAGGTACAAGAGATGCTTCGAGTAAAGAGTCTCGGCGGGCCGTGACATTACATGACGTACAGATCTAATTGACCCTAAATACAAACATGAAATAACTAGAGGTCCTTGTAAAACCAATGGGTATTTAAATACTAATCTAAACTTTAATTTTGATGTTGAAAAAGAAATCGAAATCCTCCTACTAAAGAACGCGGTAGACTCAAACCTCGATTTTATGGAACTCGATTTTATGGACAAACCCCACTGTATGGTGATTGAAAAAATGTATTTTGGTAGCGCTGTTACTGGTACTGCTATATAGTATTTTACAGTCTCAGTGTATTATGATAAGCGTCATGGTCGTCGTTATTATCATCACCAACGTCGTCTACATTGTTTTTTTGTCATCGTTGGTCAGATATAAAAGGCGACCACCGTAATCAAGGAGTAGTATCGCGGAATCGTGTGGTGATGAAAGAGTTAGTGAAAGTGATAATTGTGACGGGGGTGACGGTGGTGCTGGTGGTCGCCGAGCGACACAGGGAGATACTGAGACCACGCGATGCGCCTCAAACGTATACGCAGCCAACTTAGCGAAGTTGACGAAAGTCATACGTTGTTAATGAGATCGCGAGAACGGCACCGGCTCTAGATTCTCGGATCCTTAACAATCGATAATTCGAGCGACACAGGGAGATACTGAGACCACGCGATGCGCCTCAAACGTATACGCAGCCAACTTAGCGAAGTTGACGAAAGTCATACGTTGTTAATGAGATCGCGAGAACGGCACCGGCTCTAGATTCTCGGATCCTTAACAGTCGATCATTTTACCGAAGGACGGCAACAGCTCAAGATCCTTTCTAGTATAAGAACGACACAACCGAACATAATATGCGTGCGATTACGAAAATTATCATTCTTGTATAGACGTGGGTTTTTATGCCACCAGGCTTTTCCCATATGAGCTAATAAACATCAACCTTATTTTGTGGCTCAATTCATGTGTGTTCTTAATTCAAAGAAAGAGAATCATACCCATTTATAATCAACACGAACTATTCATACGAAACTACAACGGAACTTCGCAATGAAGGACTTTTGAACATACAGAAATTGGTGTCAGAAATGGGATCCACGCGCGAACGCAAACAATCATAGGCCGTATTGTTCCTACAGTTACGCGGTACGAACAACTACTCGCAATACAAAGTATCGAAATCTAGTGAACTTTGTGAGTCGTCAGTTTCGTTTCGACATTCGACATGAACGTATCTAACCTTAGTCCAAAATAGTGTAATACACAGTACCGGTGTTGATTTCCGTGAAACATTTCGTGCGACTTTGTTTAATACGAGTTCGTTAAAATGAGTGAACGCGTGAAATATATAAATCAAAAACGTGTAACGTTGAAAGTACAAATGACTAAACTCGACAAAATCGCGGATGATTCAGAGTTAGAACCCGCGAACGTGAAAATGCGTTTAGATCGGATAAAGGAGCAAGTTCGAGCATACGAGGAATTAAACGACGAACTTGCGTTGTTGGTTGAACCCGACGACGAGCAACTCGCTGAATTTGAGTCGTTACAAAATAGATTTTACGCAATCGCGACAAAAGTCGAGGTGATCGTGTCACCGATAACGCCGCTATCTGTTAGCAGATTAAATTCAACATCTCTACCGACCGATGGCACGCGTCGTCTGAAATTGCCCGTGGCAGACCTTCCAAAGTTCAAAGGTGACCTCGAGAAGTGGTTATCGTTCAAAAATATGTTTCTCGCGATGATTAATTCTCGCGAGGACATAACGAATTTACAGAAATTTATTTATGTGAAAAATTGCCTCGAAGATGACACGTTGAACAAGATCCTGGTTTACGACATAAGCGAAGAGAATTACGAGACCGCTTGGAAACTATTTTTGGACTCTTACGATAAGACCCGTATTCTAATCGTGAAACATCTGGCCGCTATTCTGGAATTACCGGTGCAGACAAAGGCCACGCACCAAGGACTAACGAGACTCATCGATGACATGCGTCAACACCTAAACATGCTCGCGTCGATGAATGTGAAACCGGATGAACATTTGTTAGTTCGGATATTGAAATGTGCGCTACCCCACAACATTCGATCTAAATGGGAGGAAACTCTCAGTTTAGATATCTCACCGACACTAGATCAATTATACAAGTTCATTTCGGAAACTGCGTTCCGACTTTTTACGATCGAACAAGATTCGTCGCGTTCAAAACAAGAGGCGAATAAAAAACGACCATTTTTCGGGAAGGCACAAGATGGTGCGAAGATTCGAAGAGGTGAAGACGGCGCGCGTACGCTAATGACCGGTACATCATCCAATTGTTTGGTTTGCAAGAGAGAAAACCATTTCATATATCAGTGTCGTGAGTTTCAAAACATGACCGTACAACAACGATGGGACTTTGTGAAAAAATCGAATTTGTGCAAAAATTGTTTACGCACACATAGCGGTAAATGTAACTCGTGGCACTGCAAAAATTGTCGTAGATTTCACAATATACTTTTACATAACGAGGCCTCTACTGCGACCGCAAGTCGCGATTCGAGAAAATCGGATAACGTGACCGACTCAAGATCAGAAGTAAATTCGGAATGACTAAACGCGGTTGCTCACAGCTTTACATCGCGGGTCTTGCAATCGCAATTAATGCTGAGCGCTCAAATACGCATCACAGGTTCGAACGGTCAGTTTAGAAAATGTCGAGCTTTGTTAGACACGTGCGCAACGGCACATTTTATCATGGAAGATCTCGTCAAAGAATTGAAACTACCGGTACGCACATGTTCGCTCACGATAGGAATGATCAACAACACGAATACGATTTCAAGAGGCGCGGTCGATTGCACGTTAGTAGTAATAGATCCGTTATAGCGAGACCTGGGGGCGTGGTTAAGTGGGGGTGGGGGTGAGTCCCAAAAGTATTACGGTTAAAATTTTTCGTTTCGAACTCGACGCCCCAAAAGTTTAGCAAATGACATTTTTTCATTTTAAACTCGACGCCCCCAAAAATTTAGCGAATGAAATTTTTTCGTTTCAAACTCGACGCCCCAAAAGTTTAGCAAATGACATTTTTTCATTTTAAACTCGACGCCCCCAAAAATTTAGCGAATGAAATTTTTTCGTTTCAAACTCGACGCCCCAAAAGTTTAGCAAATGACATTTTTTCATTTTAAACTCGACGCCCCCAAAAATTTAGCGAATGAAATTTTTTCGTTTCAAACTCGACGCCCCAAAAGTTTAGCAAATGACATTTTTTCATTTTAAACTCGACGCCCCCAAAAATTTAGCGAATGAAATTTTTTCGTTTCAAACTCGACGCCCCAAAAGTTTTATGACTGAAAGTTTTCAAAAATGGGAAGTGGTAATTTTTCTGTATGAAAACTAAGCGGCAAAAGTAAAACTCAGACAAAACGATATGTC